TCTTTCGTGAGCCCCTTTCTTAGATGCTTTGACTACTCCGCTCCTCTAAACTGGGAACCCATCCTGGGGTATATCTGTTGGATGGTTGAGAGTTGCTCTCTTCTTTGTTTTGAGTTAGGAGGGAGACAGGAATCCCAGAACTGGGCTTAGAAGCATGTTGGGGGAAATCATTCAACCCTGTGCATGGGGTCGTGTGCCAGTTTTCCTCACCTGGCTGCCCATCCTCTTCCCTGGTCCCCTAACTTCCTTTCTCTCTTCCTCTTCCCAAGCAATAATTTTTTTCATTTTTTTTTTTGAGGTGTGTGTGTCAAGTTCAGGTTGGGGAAAGAAAAAGACAGACAGAGAATATATATCTTTTTGCCTCAACTCTGTTGCTTTTCTCTTCTTTGCTCTAGTTCCTGCACACACAGATCTGGGCTCCTAGACTCTGGGGAACCCAGGAACTACCCAGCTTGGCCTGACTGCCATTGTTTCTGTCATAATTTTGCTCTCCAAATTATCAGGGCATCTAGACCAACTGGGTGACTGACAACCACGGCAAGAGCCTGGCTTCTCTAATTACTTTCATTACTTCCAACTTTCACCATCACCCCAGATAAGCTGTGGGAGATGAGGTTAGCTGAGTGGTCAGACAAATCATCCTGCTTCTTCCTCCTTTTATGAAAAAAGGAAACTAGTACAGCAGCCAGACATTCTTACATGTCCACTAGCATGTTAGTAAAATCCAGAATGTTACTTTCATGCCAGTGTATTCAGTTTTAATTTTGTGAATATCAATAAATATTTTATTATTAATATTTCATTTTAAAGTTTCCTTTTTCTCCCCATCTCAAATTTCTGGCTTCCGAATATAGAAACGGAAAAGCAAAGAAAAACAACAACAACAACACTGTGCTTGAATATTTTAGTGTAGTTTCCTGCTCCCCTGGCATGAGTAAGGAAATATACTTGATATGAGAATGTCCCCTTCTTTTATATTCACAGGAAAATTATGGTAAAATCAGATTTCATGTAGAGACATGCAGGATTAATGGATGGCGCTATAAACGATCTCATCTGCTTCTAGAAAAGTCCAAAAGCATTTCCTAGCTGCTGGGAACCCTCGAGCAGCAGCACTGATACTTTGGTGCATTCTAAGCAGGAGCAAAGCAACCTCGAAATACAGCTGAAGTCGGTTAAAAGGAGACAGAGTCTCTAGATCTGATAGGTGGGGAAATTGTCTCCAAAGTACCCACCATTAATGGGACTCCTCTCTGTGTCACAAACACATTTATAAAATAGGTTGCTCGCTCTGTACTTTAAAAAATGTAGTATTTTCGACAGCCTCAGACAATCCGATTTTCTATAGCTACTGCCCAGCCCAGGTAAGTTAAGAGGATGCACTCGCTATTGGAAGAGACACCCAATCTTATTATGGATTCATTTGCTTGACCTAAGGAATCTCTCTCTCTCTCTCTCTCTCTCTCTCTCTCTCTCTCTCTCTCTCTCTCTCTCTCTCTCTCTCTCTCTCTCTCTCTCTCTCTCTCTCTCTCTCTCTCTCTCTCTCTCCCCCTCCTCCTCCCTCTCTCCACCCATTTCCTCCTTCCAAGCCTGACAACTCATGCTTGGACCATGTTCTTTCCCTAAATAAAGCTACCTCCACAGCAAAAGAAAAGAACCCGCCCCTCAAAGGCTACTATCAACATGGGGCGGTGTAGCTTAAAAGGAGTTAACTGTTTTCCAGGTAGTTTAAGCTTTAGCCAATAATTTAGGCCCTCCTGTAAAGGAAATAGTTGAACTGTAACATCTTGAACACGTTTAATTACGGGGTAGGGGTAGTCGCAGGGAAAGGGCTCCCAAGTAATTGGAAAACATTTCTTGGGAGACAGACTAATCGTTTTTCATGGGGGCAGTTGGAGAAATTAACCTTGTGTAGCTTGCTGGAGCAAAACCACCTTTGGCTCGGCAATACCTGAGCTGATTTCCCGAGATGTATACTATTATAAGTTAATTCCTACATCTTTCCTAGCTCAAATGAGCAGCTATTTACCTGGGGAGTGCAAGAAATTCTTCCGAAAGGGCTGTAAAGAAAGGCCACGCCCTCAAATTCTTTCCCCTTCCACATGCAAACTATCAAAGTTGATGGAAAAATAAGTCTTAGGTTGAGGTTTGATCTCCTGAGTCACCTGGGGGTGTGAGGAGAAAACTACGGCAAGCCTTGTGGCCTAGGGATGGAATTTGGTCTGGGTCCCTTGAAAGGGAGAGGAGGAAGCGCTTGTGGGTATCTGAGTGCTTACACTTGTGAAGGGGTGTTGCAGTTGGGCCCATTCCTTACCCCCTCCCAACTTTTCATTCTGGGGTCCTGAACCTCTGAATACTCGCTAGGGAGGCCACTTCAGCCCACCTGCAGCAGCGGCGATGCTCCGCAGACTGGGCCGACCAGCCGGTTTCAGTCCCAGCAGTTGGTGGGCCCCATGAACCCGGACTGAGCGGCTTCCAGTCCCTCCTCCCTCCCATTCCACCCCTCCTTCCTATCTCCTTCGCCCACCCCCACCACCCACCCCCAACCACCTTGTTTCAACACTTTTGCCACTGCCTGTTTATTTTCCTTTGTAACTGTTGCATCTTGTCCACTCCGAAAGCTCCCGCAGCTCTAGCCTGTTTGGCTTTCAGGAACCCAGGGGGTAGGGGGGAAGGGATGAAGGGACCAGATCGGGAACGGGGAGAGGGGAGGAGAGTCGAAGAGAGGAAAGGAGGAGGGCAAAGTTTGGCAACATATACACCTTTGCACACACACGTGGAAAAGCAGAAGTGGCACTAAATTAATCCTGCCTGTCTGATAGTCTTACATTGTTTCTCCCTGCCACTCCCCCCCCCACCAACACACACCCCTAACCTCTTCCCCCAACAGTTTCTGGACCCTCTGGCCCTTCTAGTCCTAGCTCAGGCCCAGAGGGATCCTTGCACTTTGGCCTCCGTTCCTTGCAGCTCTCACAGCTCCTAGTTTCTCCAAAGCTTCTTTGCTTGCCTCCTCCGGCCCTTCTCCATTGCTGTGCCAGAGGAATTCCTTCATTTGTTTGGCTCACTGATTTGGCACAGCCTTCCTGGTCTTCGCTCAGAACATGGTAAGTGTGTTTGTATCTCTGTGTTAAAAGCCAGCAAACCTCATAGCCCTTTTTGAATCTTTGTAACTTCCTCAAATTCAAGATTAACCAAATATTTCAAGATTAGTATTAGTTGGACTAACTACATCTGGTGTGCTTTTTTGGCATGTTGTCTGGGCGAATTATTTGGACAGAAGAGAATGGCCTAGGAGGAGAGAGAAGGAAGAAAAAAGAAGGAATAGAAGAGGAAGCGAAAGAGGGGAGGCTTAAAGGTGGAGGGAGAAGAGAAGAGCACAGTAGAGTATATGGATGGAGAAAGCGGACATTCTTAATAGGGATAGACCAATTGAGAAGAAAGTTTGGATAAAAAAGGGGGGGAAAACAGGGGGGAGACGGAAAACAATATAAAACTACATGGGAGTTTCCTCCCGCTCTGTTACAGTATCATTTCATTTCTAATTCTTTTTCCAAATTGGCCTGGCTCTTCAGCAAAATAGTTTCTGGGACTTTACGACAAAGACAAGCAAATGAATGGCCAGACAGCTAGTCAACTGGGGAGGATAGCTAAGAGGTCAGTGGATCTTCCGCAGATTTTTGGTGAAGAGGAAAAGAAACCCCCCCCCCCACCTTGAACTTTTAGAGACAGCTGTCTTCCTGTGAATTCTCTCTTCAGAGTGTTCTGGAGGCGGAGACGAGTGATCAAAAGCGCGCTTCCTCTTTCCAAAAGAACGATCTTACCTTCCATCCACAACTACTTTATTTCTCGAATCATGCCCCACAGCCCTCCATCGGTCTCCTCCTGATCTATATACATGTTTCTTGAAGATAAGAGAACTCCAGGTGGAATTCTACCGTCTATTCGTACGCTCATACTTATAATAAGTATATGAGGGGGTAGGTTGGGGAAAGATTCGAGTCTACCCTGCATTTTAGAACTGGAAGAAGCCGAGGTTAGGGCAGAAAAAAAAAAGTAAGTGACAATTTCACTCCGTTCCAACAAATAAAACCGCCACACAAAAGTCCCTTTGTATCGCCGCGGCTCATTTAATATTATTTATGCATTTTGTGCAAGGAATTGTGGGATTCCCCCCGCACACGGTAAACAATATGGAAATTTAAAAATAGATTCTTATATCGTATGTGTACATAAATGCCTAATGGAGCTTTGCTTTGATTTTTTAAAATTATCAATAAGCGGGATAAAGCTTAAGGGATAATCAGCCAACTGGCTTGAGAGACCAGTGGTCTTGGGGTCCATCCTTGCTTTAGGGGACCGCTTTCCGGCCATCCCCATTTTAATGCACTCTTGAGTGGAGAAGGTGCTGTAGCTTTAAGGGAGATGGAGGCAAGGCGGGGAGAGGAGGAGGAGATTGAGAATGAGAGGGGGTGGTGGGAGGGGGACACTGAGGGAAAGGGGGAGGTTGCTGCCGCGTTCTCTCCTGTCACTTACCAGCCAGCCGCGGCGTCACGTGTGGACGCGGCGGCTTTGCCATTGGCCGCAGGCACGTGTCTAGGATACCGGGCTTGCAACGTCACTTGAGGGGTTCTATTAAAAATAAGAACAAAAATCCAGAGTGAAAGTATTTCAGGTTCAGTTAAGTGGCTTCCAAATTTACACCCACACTAGATAAAAGGACACCCAGAGAAAGACCGAGACTGGGAGAAACAGGGAGAGGGAGAAACAGAGGAGACATCCCCCCCACACCCACCCACTCGCCCCCCCCTCCCTTTCCCCCTTCCCCTCGCCCGTGCAACTTGGAATATTGAACTCAAAGGGGGGAAAGCGAGGCGGCAGCAGGCTCTACTCATGCTTCTTGCGCTCGTCTCTGTCCGCGAGCAGGGGGTGCTGCGTGTAGGTGGAATATTGCATCTTGTTGTGGTTATTTTGACTCGCGCTCCTCCATGTGCGTGCGTGCAGCTGCGGTGGCTTTCCCTCTGACCGATCCTCACCTTTTAGGAGACTGCGCTCTTACCGGGAGCTGGGGTAAGGGGGAGGGGATAGGGATGGGTGGGGTGGGTGGGAGCTGGGAGGTGGGCAGGAAAGTGGAGTGATGAATGCCTTTGGGAGAAAAAGATGCTTTGGTGTCCAGAATTAAAACCTTGACCGGCAGTGATAGCGCGGCAGCAGAAAGGAGGACGAGGAGGAAGAAAAAAGGAAAGATACACAGAGACAGAGAGGAAAGGAAGGTTTTTTAAAAGCGGAGGGGGTGAAGGGGGAGAAGAATTATCGGCGTCTCTGTTAACACGACTCCGACTATTGTTACGGTGCCGTGGGTGCCTGTTAGGTTGTTGTTTTAAAAAAAAATAATACCCTATCTTCCAAATCTCTCGGTGTCTCCGCGGGTGGGTATTCCCCCCCCCTCACCAAACCAACTCTCTGGATGTGGATGTGAACGTGGCTATCGCTCCGAGTGGAGCCAGACACTCCTTTAACAACAGGACCCGCCGCAGTGGCCACAGCAGCCAGAGGCGGCTTCAGAAACATACACTGAAGATACTGAAGAGAGGAGGAAGGCGGACGGGTGTGGGGCTGTATGTGCGAAGGGGAGGGGGTGGGATTTTTTGGAGGGGGTGGGAGTGTAGCTTTTTTTTTTTAACCCGGAGAGAAACATTTTGGGATTTGTTGTGTACAGCATGGAGGAGAATGAGCAGAGCCACAGCGAAGCAGCGGCAGCAGCAGCAGCAGCTACTGCGGCGGCGGCAGCGAGTGAGGACCAGAGGCAGCAACAGCAGCCGCAGCAGCAGCAGGAATCGGGCGGCGGCGGCGGCGGCGGCAGCCCCAGCGATGGAGACACTGGCCGGAGGAGGGCTCTGATATTGCCCGTGGTGTTGCAGGCGCCCGGGAACCACCAGCATCCGCACCGGATTACTAACTTTTTCATCGACAACATCTTGCGGCCGGAGTTCGGCAGAAGAAAGGAAGCCGGGACCTGCTGCAGCAGCGGAGGGGGAGGAAGAGGAGGAGGAGGAGGAGAAGAAGGAGGAGGAGGAGGAAGTGCAGGAGGAGGAGAGGGAGGAGGAGGAGGAGGTGGCGGCGGTGGAGGAGGAGGAGGAGGTGGCGGGGGCAGCGGAGGCAGCCCGGATCGGCTTCTCTCCAACCGGGAGCATCGGAGCTCCACCTCGGCGCCGGGAGCGGGCGGGCAGCTGCCCGGAGGCGGGGGAGGCTCTCCCGGGGACGGCGAAGGCGGCTCCAAAGCGCTCTCCTTGCACGGAGGCGGGGTCAAGAAGGGAGGAGAGCCAGGGGGACCATTGGAAGGAGCCCTGAAGTCTAGGGGCTTGAGCGGCGGCGATCTGTCAGTGAGCTCGGACTCGGACAGCTCCCAAGCCAGCTCCAACCCCGGCAATCAACCCATGCTCTGGCCCGCCTGGGTTTACTGCACCCGTTACTCGGACAGGCCTTCTTCAGGTAAAGACGACGTTTCTTTTCCGATACTACTTCTGCTACCATTGAGCCCCAAGGTGTCAATCTGGCAAATTTGAAACCTTTGGAATCCGTCACCCCTCCTCAGCCACTCTCTACTCCCTCCATCCCTTCACCCTTCATCTGGCTCCCTCCTTCCTTCCCTCATCCCTGCACCAGGCTCCCTTGACTCCTTCCTTTCTCTTTAATCCCAGCCAAATGGCTGGGCCACCACTGTCTCTTGTAGCTGTTCTTTCGGAAAAAAAAAAAGATTGGTAGTTTGGGAGTGGAAACTGGAAAGGGTCTAAATTACTGCCCAGTGGGGAAGGGGGAGTGGTAGTGAAAGCACACACACTCGACCTAAATTGAAAACTAGAGGCGAAGTCCAGAGCGGCAAGAGAGGGCGAGGAAAACTTAACCCACAAATGGATTTTGAGTGGATGGAGGTTTTATCCCCCCCCGGCGGGCTTTTCTGGGGAGTGGCGAGGAGCAGAGAGGAAAGGATGAGACTGTAAATACAGACTGGGGGTGGGGTGGGGGTGGGGGAGGGTGGAAAGGAAGGGGGAGAGGTCCTGAAAGGGGCCTTCCTTTTCTAATCACTTCCACTAGATCTCATCCTTGAAGTATAAAATTGCTTTGAAGCCTGAGTCAGCAGGCAAGATCTGTTTGAGGGTTATGTTTCTGGTCATTTATAAACAGAGAAAGAGAGAAAACGGGAAAATAAGGAAGAGGCCCAGATAAAAGAGTTTTTTCTTTGCAACCATCCCCTTACTCTCCTGTTCCGTCTTCTTCCAAGTGAGCTCAGACTAGCTCCAGAATCTGGATTCCCCTCCCTCCACCCTTCTTCCCAATCCAATAATTGGGTGATTTGGTTGGGGTTAAGACACCAAAACTGTTGAAACTCTACGTATATAGGCACTCTTTTCTTTAGGCCTAGACAGAGCGGGCACCGAGTATGAACCTGTGGGGGATGTGTAAGGAAAGGGTGCAAGGGTTAGAAACAGAAGTGATGTCCTTTTCTCTGCTTTTTATCATCTTTTATTTTCACTCCCCGGGATAAAGATGGCTCAGATTTCGGTTAAGGGGAAGGACAACTTCCATTCAGACTGGAAAAGGGGAGAATTAGGTGGGGGCAGGCGGCTGGCTGTCTGGGACTCTTTCACAGTTTCTAAAATCCTTTAGAAAAGAACCTTCCGTCCAAAAAGATTTCTTTGCTGTTTTACACTACTGAGAAATAGGATGGTGGGAGACAAATATGTGTAAGTGAGAAGCTTGGGGGAAGTTAGAAGGGTCTGTATTCCATACATTTTTTTTCCTTCTTCAAAAAATCCATAGGAACTTTGAAATCATTAAGCATCTGAAATGTAGTTTCAGGTCTGGGAAAAGCTACAGGAAATAATCTCCATTTGTAAATAGTATTCATAATAAAATAATATTTATAATAATGTGTCCCCTGTTGTATTAGATACCCCCCTCTTCAGTACCCTACCAATTATATTGACTTTTTGGGGAAAGTGTGTTTTAGTTTACCTAAGAACGAGTTTGCAACATTTGAAAAGAATTCTTCGACACCCCTTCCCTCATCCTAAAAATGAATAATTAGGGTAAAATAATATTACCAGCCAGAATTGAAATTTACTCCATTGTTCTCGACTCCCTTCCTTTGTTAATATTTAATTAACATATATCCTCACAATGGCACAGGCCAGGGTGAGAAACCTCCTCGCCTGTGCTTTGTGCCCAGACCAAAAAAATAAAAATCAGGATTTTTCCTTTCCAACTCAGCAAGGAGCCTCAAGAAATTGTCACCAGGATAATTCAGTATTAACAACCACCCTCCATTTTAAAACCTAAACAACAATGCTTATATTTAATAAATGCATATGACATGGATAAGGGAAGAGTTTGCTTCTTATCTTTATCTACGCTCCCTCCCCCAGTTACCCCTCCACCCTTCGTTTTAAGGAGGGACCGATGTCTCTTTCTTAGCTCCTTCATTACTTTTCATGAGTGGAGAGAGAACTTGGAGATTTCAGAATGGGACTGGATTTGATGTGAGGGTTGGGGGTGGGGGGAGCTTCTTCTTTTGTTGTTGTTCTTTTAAAATATGCATGTAGCTATGGGGGTGGATATGTCTGTACCTATATAAGGAACTTTTGAGGATAGATTTGTGTAAGAGATGAGGAGGGGAGAGAGAAAGGCAAAAAGATAACTGCCCTCCCACCCCAAACCATAGAAACTGCATTCACATGGACTTTTTGAGATCAAATTGGGGGGGGCAGAAAATGGCTACTTTTATTTTCCACATCTCTATCCAGATACTACCACTTTAGCCTGGGAAAGTGAAAGGGAAGATGATTAGCAAACAAGGCCAAGCTGGAAAGCAATTCTCACTCCACCTTTCTTGTGTATTCGATTTTGAAAATTCAAGAGTGTCAGAGTAGAACTGCTTTCACCATCCTTTCTTCCTCTCTTCCTCCTTCCCTTCCTCCTCTCCTTCCCCTCCCATCTTTAACTTGATTCAGAGAGAAACACAGTTTAATTTTTACGAGTTACCAAAATTAAAGCATTCTGAGATCTCTGCTGTCTGTCTACTTGACCTCCTTCTCCCATGCCAATATTTATCCTTCCCTTCTCTTATCTTCATCCTGTCCTCCCATTTCCTTGGGGTGCAGAGTTTTCCCCTCCCTGAAAAGAGAGCTCCACCCAAGGTCAAAATTTGTCCTTATTCTTTGTGAAAATTAGTTTTTTATTATTAGATATACTGTCCTAGACAGTTCACTGAAAGCCCTGTAATGGGGTCCCTGTGGCAGTGGAGGGGTAGAGGTTGGGAAGGAAAAAGATGGGGAGAGGAATAAGTGTTGAGAGAATGCTGGTCCTTCCTTGGATATTGAAAATGAAATCAAATTTTTCCCCCAGCCTTTTTCCTGTCTAGCTTCATAAAACTTGCTTGACCAAGCTCTGGGGGAATAGTCATGCACTAAAGTTTATAAACAAATGTTGAGATTTATAAAATCTGGCATAAGGACACTTTATGTCCAAAAGCTCCTTTTCTGTCCCTTTTCTACCCTTATCTATTTTCTTTCATCCAAGAACTGGCCCAGCATTTTGACTACTTGTCACCAACCAAAAAAAGAAATCCCTTTTCCTCTTCCCTACTTTTCCTTTCCTTTCCCTTCCTTCCCACTCTTTTTTCTTCTTTCCCTTCCCCTTGATGTCCTTTTCTGTGTGTGTGTGTGTGTGTGTGTGTGTGTAACTTTATAGCCACCTTAAGTTTTAGTTAAGTTGCCCTACATCAAGATTTTTAAAGGAACAAATGACACCCCCCTCCCTAGGAGAATCCCATTATCACTAAATCAGAACCTTGTGAAGTTTGAAGACACCAGAGTAATGGGAGAAGGTGGGGGCAGACTGGGCTGTGGTGAGCACTTGTAGATCACCTTCAGGACTGTCAAATGTCCCAGCCATGAGGTGTTTATCCTGGTCTGAGAGGAGAGAAGTCAAGAAGGTAGCACCTGTAGGTAAGCTTGTTTTTCAGCAAGAGGGAGGGGAGTCGACGAGAAAAAGGAACAGGGCTGAGGAAACACTTGGCTGTTCTGGGAGCTGGGAATTGGTCTGTGTTATACCCCTACCCATCTCAGGTGCCCCAGGACCCAGAAAGACTCTTGGGAGGGAATTGCTATGGAACCATTAGCTGTCTAGGCCCTGGAAAGCTTCGGAGTCCACGGCTACCAGGGTCATTAAATGAAACAGTGAACTTGAGCGGATTGTGCCTCCCTAGGGGAAGCAAGAGGATTTAGTTAGAAGTAGGAAATGCCCTGGGTCCTCTTCTTTTTCATATCTCCCTTCACTGGGGACCCACCACCCCTTTTTGCTCTTTGCAAAGAGACTGTGAGATCCTCAGGGCAGTCATTCTCCCATTACGCTTAAGATCTCCTTCCTCTCTTAGCTACCCCACTTCCACCCCACGCTCCCACCGGTCTCTGTCTCTGTCTCTCTGTCTGTCTCTTTCTCTCTCCCCACCTCCCCTCTTTCTCTCCTTCCTCCTTTCCTCTTGTTATCATCCAACAAGGTCAGGAAAGAGTACGACTTTGATTTCTTCCACAACTCTCCTCTAATGTAACTTTTAGCTGAAGATCCTTCCATTCGGGACCCCTCCTCCTCCTGTGACCCTAATCCCTACTCCTCTCTCTTCTCACTACCCCCAGCCACTCATTACTCCCCTTTGCACGCAATCACCTCTTCCCTCACAGTCTCTTCACTCACCCAGTCCCCATACAAAATTAAGCCATACCCCTAGATTTCATCTCTCCAAATTTATTTGCAAAGGGCTAGTTCGACTGTTGGTTGGTGTTCGGGGGCTCGCTTTTGTTTCTCTTTTCTAACTTGCAACACCCCCTCAATTATTCAGCAATAGGGGATAGTTGGTCATTGGCTTCTCTCTCTCTCTCTCTCTCTTTCTCTATTTTCCCTACTCCTACATCCCGTCACTGCCCCATCCCCGCCACCCTGGACTCCTTCTTCAGGTCCCAGGTCTCGAAAACCAAAGAAGAAGAATCCGAACAAAGAGGACAAGCGGCCCCGGACCGCCTTCACTGCCGAACAGCTGCAAAGACTGAAAGCGGAATTTCAGACAAACAGGTACTTGACCGAGCAGCGGAGGCAAAGTCTGGCCCAAGAGCTCAGCCTCAACGAGTCCCAGATCAAGATCTGGTTTCAGAACAAGCGGGCCAAGATAAAGAAGGCCACGGGCAACAAGAATACGCTGGCTGTTCATCTCATGGCGCAGGGACTGTACAACCATTCGACCACGGCGAAAGATGGCAAGTCGGACAGCGAGTAGAGGAAGGAAGAGGGGGGCGGTGGGGAAGGGGGTGGCGTGGGGGGTGGGGAGGATACAGAGCGGGGAGGGAGAGGGACCCGGGGAATCCAATTTTCAGTCCAAGTTAAACAATGCAATAATTTAATAAAAAAAAAAAAGGGCCAGTGTAAAAAGATTATACCAGCATTAATAGTGAAGATATTGTGTATTCGGTATGATTCTGCAATATTCTATGTATATAATTTACAGGTGTTGTAAAATCTGAAATATCTGATTATAAAGTATTTTTTTGAGTTTTTTTGTGTTTATGGGATTTTAGATATTATCTTTATGACTTTTTTGGGGTGCTTAGAGTTACATCTTTTTTTAAATTCCCTAAGCGCCCTTAAGGGACATTATACACTATTTTTTTTTAATTCAAGAGAAGAAAAAAAAAAGATTAAAACAACTTGCTGAAGTCCAAAGATTTTTATTGCTGCATTTCACACAACTGTGAACCGAATAAATAGCTCCTATTTGTTCTATGAGTTCTACACTTTCTTTGTGTTGGCTTTTGGGGTGGGGGACAAAAGCAGGAAAGGATACTCTCTAGGACCTAGTCTTCGTCCCCCGCCCCACCCCCTAGCGCCTGGGGCATGGGGAGCTTCTCTAACTTTGTTCTTAACTGCTCCTTCTTTCGGGTTGGGTTGTCCCGGCTCAGCCCCCTGCCCTCGGGTCCCCTCCCCCCTCCCCCACCCCTGTCCCCGAGTTTGTGGGCTCTAGGGTCCAGTGGTGCTAGGCAGAGAAGGGAGAAGGTGGGAGTGCACCGAGAAGCCGCTTGGGGGACTTTCCTTCCCTATTTTCCTTTCTCAGGACTGTTTGGACGAGGTCCTGATATCTTGTCTTGTGTGAAGTCAGCATCACGACTTCCGGGGCCATGCAGTGGGAAGTTAGGCGAATGGGGGAGAGGAAGAAAAAACATTTTACATCCTCCTTCTCCTTCTTTCACTCTGTTCAACGTGGATACTCTTCCTTGCCCTCTCTCTCTGCTCCTCTACTCTCTCTTGTTCTCTCCTCTCCGCACACCCCTTTTTCTGAGGCCCTGGTCCTTCCATGTGTGTTTTCTCATCTCTCAATCTCTCATCCCTCGTCTCTCTCAATCTCTCTCTTTCTCCTTCTCTCCGTCTCTGTGCCTGTCTGTCTTTCTCTTACATACACAGATATAACACATCACACACTCACACAAGCTGCTAGTTCCCCATCTTAGCTCCCATACAGTTTGGAAAATAAAAATTTTTCCCCCTGCTCTGCCCACCATCTGCTGAGCTCGGGGTCTATTTTCTGGGAGTAATGATAGGTTCATATCTAGTGATTTTAGGCTTTGTGTATGTAGATATGTGGGGTAGCCAAGATTGGTGATCTAGGGAGCTTCTGGGGTGAAACTTTTCTTCTGGCTCACTCCCCACTTTCACACTTACACACACTGGTCTTTCCCTGCCTCTTCCCGCTCCAAGCCCTGGGCTAAAAGCAACCCTGACGCCTTTGGGATCCAGAAATTCCTGTGCCAGACTTTACAGGCTGTCAACTTGATAGGGCCCCAAAACACAAACATTGCCCGCTGCACTCTGCAGGCTCCAAAACAGGTAGTTAGTATTTTAATTTAATCAAAACAAATCCTAGTACCTTCCGTTTGCTATGGAGTGTTATTTTCCCCACTATGAATACAAATATAGTTACGTCAGCCCAAAGTTTGGAAAGTGCAACTGTTGTGATTTTCAGGGGAACTTAACTGTAGTACTCCACAGATCTATAGGAAAGTAAAGTCAGTGTAAATAATCATTCCTTGTCACTTTTGGGTTTTTTTTGGGGGGGGAGGAAACACTTCTAGCTAAAAAATACATTTTCTTCTGATTTAAAGATGTGATATAATGTAATAAACAAATATATCCCCTATCCCATCAATTTTAATATATTATATATACACACATTATATGTATATTTTGACACTGTCTTCTGTTTGGTATGAGGGGAAAGAATTGTGTCCAAATGTCAACCTGTGGAACCCAGACAGGGGAGGGTGTGTATGTGTGTGTTGTTCAATGATTCAGGGTTGTATCCCTGATAATGGAGGGTTCTCTTAGATCTCTTTGCCTTAAACCTCTTTATTTCGCAGCTATAATAGACACGTTGTACATATTAGTATAAACCTTAAAAGAAAAAAAAGAAAACTATAAAACAGAAGCTGTAATTTTAAATTCTGTGAATAATCATCTGCTGCTTAGGAGACAAGATGACATGCCTTTTTAGCAGGAAGCAAAGATTTTTCCCCCCTCAGTTTATAAAACATGTGCATTTTACAATTGCAGTATCAAATATTTATAATCTTATGAAAAATGAATGTTTCTATTTACAACTGTGGTATCAAGATTGTGAATATTCTCACTGCATTTTTGTGTGTTTAAATTCTTGAAGATTACATTAAATAAAAACACTTTATTATAAAATACACAATGCGGCATGTGGAAGGACTTTAGTCCTTCTAAAGTGTATTTCTGAGTCTTGTGAACCGAGTGCGGAACCCGGATGATCAATGTGGAGGTGTAAAGAGATTTCTATTGGTGCCATTGAAGTGTAGGGGGTGGATAATTTTGCAGCCAGACATTTAATCAATTTCTTGAATAAGGAAGACACTTTTGACACCTCAAATGTGAACACAGAACTGCCAAAGTATTTTAAATCCCCATTCCTTTACCGGGAGGAAATGCTTAAAATAGGATACTGCATTTTAAAAAAATGTTTAATCCCACAGAGCTCAACAGGTCTCCCTTTTCAGCTTCAAAAGGAATCTTGCTTGCATTTTTTTTTTGAAGACATTTGGGTGAAGGTACCTCAAGCCAGTTATTGTGCATCTGGACAGGCTGGTGCCTGGACAGAGACAATCATTATGTTGTTGAGTTGATTTTTTAATTTTTTTTTGAGGGGGGGATACCTTCAAAAAGACCTCTGAAATTATCAGGGGAAATATTCTGTTTCCTCTAGGTTTAAACTTTGAGATAGAAAACATCAGTTGCTGTTTGTACCGAGTAGTCTGTTCAATCTAAGAGAGTAGTGTAAGTCGTCACACCACCCCACCCCCATTCCTAGAAAAGGAAGATACTTCTTTGTATGTCTAGTTTCTTGTTATCCAGACTTTGCCCCGTCTCAAGCATATTTTCCTTTAAAGCTATATACATACATTTAAATGAGTAAAGGACAACTCATTCTGTCAAAGACAAAGTTTTGGTGATTTGGGTTCAGATCTGGCACTGTGAAGCTATTTAGCTAGTTCTGCTGTCAGATGGAAGCTCAGGCATTGATTTCCCAGGGCAGCCAGTTCTACATAAGGTGCTGGTAGTTGTTAGATTTAACCTCAAAGGAGGCAAAAGAAAACATTTTTAAAACTTTTGGTAGATAGATTAAGCAAGTAAATGCATGACGGCATTTTGCAAATCTTAAAGCACTATATCCATGCCAGTTAGATGAAATATTTTTATTGATTTAAATGAGGCATAAGGAGAGATAAACTGAGGAAATAGGAAGGGAGACTGGAGAGGCAGGAAAAACTAGAGAGTAGGGAAAGGTGTGTGTATGTGGAGAAAGTGAATATTTGGTAGTGTGGGAAACAAAGAGCGAAGAGATTAGGTTTCCAATGTATTGAACGTGTCTTGTGTTCAGGGCCTTTGGGAACATGCCTGGGTCAAACGGGGATACAGTGAGGTTCTCTGGAGGCCCGGGGATAATAAGGGAGGCCTGGATTACACCTGTCGTCTACAGCAATCTGTCCAGTCTCCAGACTAGCTGCCCAGTTAGGTAGCTGGGGGAGTACAGGGTCTAAAGGTTTGGGGACCTTAAAAAATCTTTTTTAAACTTAAGGCAATGGATTGGAACTTTTGGACTTTTTAAGAACCAGCACCACTGCTGCCAATAAGAATAATTGTATGTAATACAACCCCATAATTCCTGCCATTTAAACCAGCAATGGAAAGAAAGCAAAGCCACACCAGAAAACAGGGCAGTTCTAGCTACCCTTTCGAATGGAAAGCCAGTTCTCTCTTAAAGTGATAGAAAGGTCCTGGATCTGGCCTTTCTGTTGAAAACCCCAAACTGCTTCCTTTTTAGGTTTTTAAATTCAATCTACTCCTTTGCTTTCATTTTTGCTAATCCTCCAGTCCTTTAATCTGGTAATCCATTGCATACTGTAAAAGAGGGGTTCTCTTAATAGGTTCTCTCTCTCTCTCTCTCTCTCATTTTTTTTTCTGTTTTCATACAAAACTAGTACCAAAGGCTGCGAATGCATGAGTGTGTGTGAGCAAAATGAAAGCTTTTTTTAAGGAATTTATTGCCACTGCCTCTGGAACCTTAAAGGACTCACTTTACTGGGTCTCTAGCCCTCCTAAAAACTAGCGCCCTTCTGTCTCTTAGGGCCGCCAGGCCTGCCTGTACGTGTCACTGGCCAGATGGGAGTGCATGCAGACATTCGTCGTGCTGCGCGTGTCGTTTAATTCCGCAAAAACCTCGGGAGGCTCGACTTGAGAAGAACAGGGGAACCGTTAGATCCCAAGGACGTCCCTCAGTGTACCCACCACCCTTCCACATAGTAGTACATAGAGCCAGACGGCAGGTATGGGAGAGGACTTAAGACGATGTGCATGGGGCACCATCACTCTGTCCCTGCACTGAAGCGTCTTCCTCTGTAGAGATGGATGGGCGCAGTTGACTGGTCCCTATCCTGGTTCTCGAGCTCCCACCCCCACCTCCACCGTCCTTCAGCACGGTCTTCCAGCCCCCGCCCCATCTAACCACGTGTTAGCTGCTGCTGCATCTCAACAGGAGATAGACCAGTAAGTAGGGGTTTGACAAAGCTAGTTGGAGATATTCAGGGCCTCAGAATAAAGATAGCTTATTACTTTACCGACGTGGTCCAAAACAGATGCGCTTTATTTTCCCAAAGAAAAAGAAATAGAGACGCTTAGTTGAGCCTGTGTCTAAGTACGAAAGCATGC